CCCTAAACCCTAAACCCTAAACCCTCAATCCTAAACCCTCAACCCTAAACCCTCAACTCTATGAACCCTCAACCCTGAACCCTCAACCCTCAACCCTGAACCCTGAACCCTGAACCCTAACCCTGAACCCTAGACCCTAGACCCTAGACCCTATACCCTAAACCCTAAACCCTATAAACCCTAAACCCTAAAAAACCCTAAACCCTTAACCCTAAACCCTAAACCCTAAACCCTCTTTGGTCATGTTGCATGTCTGATGAGAAATCCAGATTCAACTGAAAGACACTCAAGTGAAGCTGGTTCCAAGTTAACATCAGGACTATATGTTATGCTATAGCCCGATTCCCGACTCTTTCTTTCCAATCCCGTTGTCGTGAAGCGCTCTTCCAGTGTCGCGAAAACTGCGAACTGCTCCCGCTCCTATTTTAACGAAGAATCGTGTCTCCCGCCTCCCAATCGAACCGTTCTCGCCTTCCCTATTTTCACGAAGCGAAGCATCTATTCGTTTGATATAAGTTGCAAATGGTATAGGAAGATGATGATTTTGGTGAGGTGGCTCTCCTTCAGTTTTAGCACAGATTTTTGTGTTCTTCTTCGAGTTTCCTCTGGATAGAGGAAGAAAATGCAAGCAGCAGTTCCTTGCCGTAAAGAAAGAAGAAAGAAGAAGAAGATTTGTCTCCCTATGCATCTTCTTGGTGGCTTTTGACATAAGAGAAATTGAGTTTATTTCTCTTGTAAGCTTCTTCGGTTTATCTCGATGTATTTCGGTGTAGAGAGAGAAGAACAGAGAGAGAAGAAGAGAGAGCAACGAAGTGAGAGATTTCTCTTGTAAGTCGAGGTGATCGACTGGTGTAAATTCCTCAAGTTGTAAAATCTTCTGCAACTTCGTGGACGTAGGCAATTTGTCGAACAACGTAAATCTGTGTGTTCCGCTGCGATGTTAATGTTTTGTGGTGTGAAATTTTCTCATTCTATTTTTCGCTTTGTCGATCTTTCTCATATTTGATTTATATATATGTATATATACCACAACAACTGGTATATATATTTAGATCCCGTAACAACTGGTATTAGAGCTTTGATTCAGATCTGAGGAAGAATGATTGTTGCAGATGAAGTGAAGATTTCAGCAGATGAAGTGAAGATTTCATCAGGGATCGAGAAGTTTAATGACACAGATTTTGGTTATTGGAGGATGTAGATAGAGGATTATCTCTATGGGAAGAAACTTCATCTTCCGTTATTGGAGAAAAAACCTGAAAGGATAGATGAGGCTGAATGGAATTTGTTTAATCGACAAGTTTTGGGGGTTATTCGATTAAACCTATCGAGGCCAGTTGCACACAATATCGTCAAGGAAAGGACTACTTTAGATCTCATGACAGCCTTATCAGGTATATATGAAAAGCCATCGGCGAATAACAATGTGTACTTGATGAAGAAGTTATTCAATTTAAAGATGGTGGAAGGTATTTCTCTTGCTCAACACACGAATGATTTCAATACTATCACAAATCAATTGTCGTCTATGAAAATTGATTTAGATGATGAGATATGTGCACTGATCTTGTTGGATTCATTGTCGGATAGTTGGGAAGCCATGATGATAGCAGTTAGCAGTTCTGCGGATAAATCTAAACTGAAAAACGATGATATTCGTGATTTGATTTTGGCTGAGGAAGTGCGCAGGAAAGATTTAGGCAATGTCTCAGGTTTGAGTTCGACACTGAATGTTGATTTCAGAAGGAGATGCCATGACAGGAACTCAAGTATAAGGAAATCAAAATCAAAGTTTAGTAAGAAAGCAACCTGCTGGAATTGTAGCAATGTTGGCCTCATAAAGAGGAACTGCATGAATCCCAATATTATGGAGAATGATAGCGCAAATGTGGTATCTGAAGAAGTACAGGATTCAATATTGCTGGCAGTTCATAGTTCTGTTGATGATGGAAGTGAAGAGGAAAGTGGGAATGAGGCACCCATTCCTATTGGTCCACAGGCAGATGTTGGAGAACGAAATGGCTATGAAAAAATCTTGCAAGATGAAAGTTCGAGCAAGTGAGAGCTGACAGAACTTTCACTATGGAAGAATGCATTACAGAACAAGTGTGTGTACCAGGTGAAGACTGAGCATGATGACAGTAAGAGGTACAGAGCTAGACTTGTTGAAAATGGCATTTCACCAGAGGCATGCTATTGCCCATGCAGTGAGAGTTGTAAGCAGAGACAAGAGTAATCTAGGAAATAGCTTGGAGGTGCAAAGCTATGTGAACCCTACTGATATGTTGAATGAGGGTGTTACTCTTGAGAAACTGAAGTTGTACACAGCTTAAGTTGGTCTTCTAGAGTGAATATAGAGGCTTTGAGTTGCAGAGGTAAAGGATTCATGGTGGAGGATTTATGTTTGCAGGAAAGGGCAATGCTGACAATTGAGGAGATCAGTTTGAGGAAGAAGACGTTGTAGCAGGTGTATTGGTCTCAAAGTGAGAGATTTGTTATGTTGGAGCCTGATCTCGATCCCGCCTCCCTCCTTCCAATCCCGCTGCCGCGAAGCGTCGCATCTCCTCCAGTGTCACGAGAACTGTGAACTGCTCCCGCTCCTATTTTAGCTAAGAATCGAGTCTCCCGCCTTCCGCTCGATCAAATTGTTTCTGCCTTCCCTGTTTCCATGAAGCAAATCATCTCTTCGCTTGATATAAGTTGCAAACAGTAGAGGAAAATGATGATTTTGGTGAGGTGGCTCTCCTTTAGTTTTAGCACAACCTTTGTGTTCTTCTTCGGGTTTCCTCGGGATAGAGGAAGGAAGTACAAGTAGTAGTTCCTTATAGTGAAGGAAGAAGAAAGAAGAAGAAGATTGTTCTCCCCAGGCTTCTTCTTGGTGGCTTGTGCCAGAAGAGAAATTGGGTTTATTTCTCTTGTAAGTTTATCTTCTTCGGTATATCTCGGTGTAGAAAGAGAAGAACAGAGAGAGAAGAAGAGAGAGCAACGAAGTGAGAGATTCCTGTTGTAAGTTGAAGTGATCGACTGGTGTAAATTCCTCAAGCAGTAAAATCCTCTACAACTTCGTGGACATAGGCAATTTGCCGAACCACATAAATTTGTGTTCCGCTGTGGTGTTACTGTTTTATGGTGTGAAATTTTCTCGTTTTATTTTTCGCTTCGTCGATCGTTCTCCTATTTGATTTCTATATACATTAACTGATATCTAGTATATCTCGCACCACTATATTTGCTAATGATTATGATATAAAGTAATCCATTTCATTTACAGAGCAACTGACTTTTCACGATGAGCCAACTCTACCAGGCAACTATTTTTCCATATTGTGCTACTGTTCATGGTTGTTCGTCAAACAACTTAATGTTATTGTGGGTTGTTCAAACTATCTCAATTATTTAAAATTATTAATAAGTTAAATATTCATATTTACCAATTAAACATCTAAAACATAATATTTACTAATCTACCACCTAAAACCTTCAAAATACCACTCTATGAGACTTCATTGCTCGCCCATTTGCTTTGCATCATGTTCCTCCACGAAACTGAAACGCTTTACAGCTCTCGGTTGAGATGCCCTCTTCCAGAGAAAATGACGGCATACGATAGGGCAAGTCTCTCTAAACTTTATAAATAGGTTAATGATTAAACTATGAGAAAACTAAATTAAGAGATATGATCGTATCTTATTCAAAAAATATATTATATTCGAAATCTAATCAAATAATGTTTGAGACAGGTCAAACAGCATAATCTTTGAAAAAATATTTTACAATATTCAATCATGATTTGAAAAAGGTTTGAACAAAGTACAAGCATTTATTTTAACAATAAGAGATTGTAGCTATAGATACTATTTGATACTCTTTCTAGTTTTGTGTTCTATTTCTATCAAAATAACTTATTCATTGTAAAAGAAAGTACCTATTTATACTTTATTAGTTGAGAAACAAAAAAAAAAATTATATCTTACTAGGTGTTCCTACTAGGTGAAGATATTTAAACATCATAAGTGTTCCTACTAGGTGAAAGATATTTAAACAAAGGTACAATGGCTATCATAATGGAGAAAGGTGAAGTAAGAATGGGGAGATGCTATTCCTCTTATGTATAGAAATAATATATGAGAGTGTTTTGTCAATTGTTTTTGTATATTTCTCCAAAATATTATAAGTAAAGTTCTCTTTTTATATTAATAATGTGCATTTACATTCACACAACACAATTATTATATATTAACATTTCTAATGTCTAAGCTATAATATTTGAATATCTAGAATTTAATTTTTTTATGCTAGAACCAAAATATATGCGTTAAATTTTTTTTAGAGATGAAATACATACTTTTATGTCTAAATTTATAAAACTAAAATGTTATAAATATAAATATCAAATTTTAATAATTAGACATATAAATGCTTATATATATATATATATATATATATATATATACACGATACCGAACCAAATAGGCCCAGTATAATTTTGACTAATTTTTAGAGCCAAGGAGTTTTTCCGGGAGAAGGTGAGGAGCTATGGGGGCGCTCTACCTCTATCGAGGCAATCTCCACCGCGTCTCTGACATTCCACGACGGTGGCCAATGCCGCCGCGAGCAATTTCCCTTCCCCAGTTCCGTCAACTTCTCCGCAAACGAAACCTAGCCATTGCGCAATTCTCATCCAGAAACCCTAACGCTAAACCTGACCCTAGAGTGAGTAATGAGAACCATGAAGATATGGACAAGGCCGAATGCCCTCAAGAAGTCGCAGTCAACCTCATTTCTTCTTTGGAACCGAGCGGATCGGCTTTGAACGATTGCAAGGGCGTCGTTGCGATCACTGAGGATCTGCTGGCTTTGGAGCGTGTTGATTCGATGGACGATGGCGATGGGAAGGAGGAGGTGAGGTATTATTATTACGTGGGTTGGTCGTTGAAACCGAATTATTCTCTCTTTTTTATCTACTTCAACTTATTTATTGATTTTATTTTAATTTTTGGTTATACTTGTCTTGTAAATTTGCACTTAATTTTCTTCAATGCAATTTTTATTAAGGTGGAGGTTTCGTTTAATTTGTTTTTAAGCTTTTTAAGTTCAATTTGTAAATGTAAAGCAGCGCTGGGTAATAGGTATTATGCTGTTCTATGGTGTAAAAGAGTTTCTCTTATTGGGCTACTTGTTATCCTATGTTAGGCGGGATTTAAGCAAGCTTTATCTTAAATCTTGCAGAACAGAACTATAAAATTTCAAATGTTCATAAATTTAACAAATTTTAGGATTTCTTCTTCTCACAACATATTAAATCCCTAACAAATAGTCAAACTATTTATCACGTTCTAGAAAAATGTAAAAACTGTCATGCCAATTAGTTCAATGGCTTTAACCATCTCAAGCTTTACTAAATCTAGATTACTATGATTTGATATACCTTACTTAGAGGCAAATCCTACTTGTAGCCAAACAACCCCTTGGAGATGTTTTTTTATGAAAACTAATTTCATAGAAACATAGCTTGTACTAACAAAAATATAGCTGGTACTAACACAGAGAATTTGGTATGACATACGGGCAAGTTGTGGATCAGTTTTTCTTGCAAAAAGCGGAGATTGATACAAAGAAGCATGCATGAGGAATTCAATCTGTGTTATCGTTCAAGTTTTCCTTATCACCCCTCTTTACTTTCTGTAAGTTGCTAGGATGCTTAATGATTATACCATACTGGTGAGCTAGATCCTATATATTTATTTCATTTGGGACGCATAAATATATCAGCGTGCAAAATTCTGACATTTTTTGTGGCTTTATTCTTGTCATTTAGACCCAAATGTACTTTCTTTCTAAAAGTCATCTCCATTGTTTTAGGAACAAATGGGATTTTGCATGGAATTCAAGCTTAAAATCTTACTTTAATCAAGAAGCCGCATCAAACCATTATATTATTGCAAGGAATCAATCTTGTATGATTGGATGTATGGTCTACAGCAGTGACTATCTACTTGCTTTTTTTATTTAATTTTTGAAAACTTGTCATTAATGGATTATATATCCATTATTGTTCCTCTTTTTCTATGGCATTTAACTTCTAGGTTAGTGTAATAACAAACAATGTAAGCTGTTGCTGTTGGCATCAGAAACTAATCTTTATGTTTACTTTTCCATGTAAAGCCAGTTATTCAATGATTTGTCATGCCTTGTGCAATCAATTACGTTTGTATTTGACATCATTAAAATAGACTAACCTTTCATGATTTGTCACTCCCTTCTCTTTGGATCTCCATTTCTAAATGCTATCATGAAAAACCAGAGCGGGCATGTGATGTCAAGAAAGGAAAAGAAAGGGCAAGGAAGCATTTATATGAGGGTAGAATTATGCACATTAACCCATTTGAAGAGTATGCATTTCAGCTTGGGACTCTTTTACCTAACAGGAAAGGCAATAAAGTAGTAAATTCAGCGTTTATAATGTATTAGTGAAATTCTTAGTACCTTTTTTCTTATTTACATCATCCTACTAAGCAGTTAATATTGAATCTTTTGCATTTAACTTTTTACGTACTTAGCATTAGGTTGTTAAGAAAACTTGTTGTTCGCAAACAGCTCGTGTTCAGCTCATTCATTAAGTAAACGAGCGGAACACAAACAATTTTTTAAGCTCAAATTATAAACATGTCAAACACAAACAACTCTTTGCTTATTCCTGTTTAGCTCGTTTTAGTTTTTTTAAAAAAAATCATATAATTATTTATATAATGATATATTACACATATATTATTTATATTTATATCTAAGTTTAAATCATAACAACTCGTGTGACATTGTGGTTATGTGCCTTCTTTTGCATAGATTTGGTCCAAATTTGAATCCAACACTCTACATCTACTTTTTCCAATTAATTTTAACGAGTCAATTTCAAACTGAACACGAACAAGAATATTTAAGTCGAGCCGAACACAAACACATTGTTCACATGAAAATTTAGAACACCAACCAATTTTGAACACGAGAAATTTCGAACGGGACGAACATGAGCCAAGCCTAAGCTTGCTCAAGCTCGACTCTTTTACAGCCCTATTTAGCATTGTGATTGTGCCGCAATGTGTAGTTTTTAATCAAGTAATATGTGAATTTTAAATTTTATTTTGTATCAGATAATTAAATGGTCTCTATTATTCAGTAAATTCTAGCAGAACATTAGAAAGCTACTGATAATATCTTATTGTTATGCAAGTATTTTGAGTTTATTTTTTCCGAAAGCTGGCACTATTGATAGAGAAGAAAATATTCAATTTTAGCAATAAACTTCATTTTTCTGGAAGTAATTTCTTTGTTCATCATCATTATCTTCACCGTCAGCTTAATCTCAACTATTTGTGGTTAAGATTTTGAATATTTTGAATCCTTTTTTCCTTATCTTATCTTTTTTTTTTTGCTTTTTAAATGTTGTCTGAAGCACTAAACATGTCCTTTGCAAATCATTTTGAACAACTTCAATTTATGTAATCATATGTCTATCTACTTTCCTTGTTTATTGGTCCTCTGATACTAATTTTATCAACTCAATCTGGTTGATGCTTTTATTCCTTCATTGTATATTTCCAAACCACTCAAGTCTATTTTCAATGACATCATCTCGATATATATAAATCCAACATTTCTCTCATATAATCATTCATGCATTTATATTTTTAGTTTTATCACACATGCATCTTAATATCACCTTTTTTATTCACAGTTAAATAAGATATCAATAAATTTGCTAACGCCTAACATTTCTAATTATATAATATCATGGGCCTGATTTAAATTTTATTTACCTTATTTTTAAGCCTTTATTTTATCCTCTATAACATAAAATTCATGATACTTCCTTTTCAATCTTCCAACTTTAATTCTGAAAATTATATGTAATTGATTTTTTTATTGTTATCCATTGTTTTACTTGAAAGAAGCTATCTTCTGGAACTAGTTTAACTTCTACTGTTTTTTTACTCAATTAGAATTAGTCTGTACTTATTTGTCGTAGCAACTTGATGTTTCACATGGCAAGTGGTTTTATTCATCTATATGTACTCATTAATTTTGATACTTTTGTTCTATTGCAGTTAAACTGCAAGTTAGATTCAACTCATGAAATACAAGAGAGGAAAAGTGATTTGGAGCAAAAGTTGCACGTTCTAAATGAGAAAAAGCATTATCTTGTGCAGATGTTGAAGCAGGTAAATTTTAGTTCTGTTGAGAATAATTTTTATATTCGGGGTTGTTCATCAGATTAAGCATGCTTTCAAGCTTATCTCTAGGCATAGTATTTTATTCCCTTTATTGTCTTTTCAAAGCTTTTCAAAATATATAAAACTACTAAAACGCAAAGTACAATACAATGCATAATAGTTCTTATTAGCTTCAAGGTACTGAGTGCAATGAAAAGTGATGCTTTTATTGTGTAGATCATTCGTAACTTGTATATCATATTTACATATATTATATGTATATTATAGTATTTAATTATTCAAACAACAAAAATAACAACAAGCCTTTATCCCACTAAGTGGGGTTGGCTACATGAATCCTTTTTCTGCATCGTATCCTATTGAGGGTCATATTTTCATTTAATTCTAATAAATTAAGATTATTTTTATGCAGCATTTTGTTTTTTCGTTTTCATGTCATAGTTTTCGTATTTAAAATAATTATGAGTGTCATATCTATTGAGTGTTTTTAGTTTTCCTAGATGGGAATATGATTTAAGCATCTAGTCCTTTGGTATTTTCCGTCACGCTCCAATTTCAAATTGTTCTTCCCTTCTTAATAAGCATGTAGGTCTTTAATGATGAATCCTTTCGCTTCACGTTGGAATTAGTCATATCAAGTAATTTAAGATCTTGGACCCTCATAAATAACCAAAATGCATCAAAATTCTATACCATAACAATGATATGTGTAATTAAAAAAAAAAAATCCAAAGACAATTTTAGGTTTGTAGTGCCCATGTAAGATGGCTCACGATGATGTTGCGTGCAAGAAAAAAATATTTTAATCAAATTCTAAGTAGTACTTGGAAAAATCTATCCTGGAAAGATAAGTGGTACAAATTGTGAAACCTGAGCGTATACTGCTATTTTCTTATTTGAAAAATTTATTATCCTTAAAACTCCAGTGCTAGACTTCATTTTACAGAAAAGAAAGATATTTGGCAGTGATTGTAGCTTTCTGATTAGATTTTGAATGCTGAAGAGGAAATCAAACGGAGGAGCATTCAATCGGCTCCTGCACGTTCATCTGTTCCTCTACAGGCAGAAGCTTCAGTTGACATGAGTTCTGCTGCAAGAAATCCACCTAAAGTTAGTGTGGCGGTGAACTTTGGTGGTGACGTAGGAGGAGAATCGGATGCTGCCGTCAATTGTAACATTCAAACACGACAGTGGCCTCCTGTGCTTGCTGCTTCTCCTTCTGCAACATCCATCGGCCGTACTTCACATGGCTCTTTCCAGCATAACACGGTAATTGCTTGTGGAATAAGACAATGAGCTACATCTTCTACTTTAAATGAGTTTTTATTGAAATTAGACTTTTTATCCAAGCAATGTTATAATTTTATTCCTTGTTAAATGATTTTTAATTCAATGTTCTCTAATTATCATCTTTTTTTATGACAGTTCACATCCTTTAATAGACTTATTTATTTGGTATTTGTTCTATACTTTGCTTTGTAACTTCACTTTAGTTTAGGGTTCTATTTTTATAGTTTAATTGAATTATATAATTACTTTAAAGTTAAGATTCATGAGAGATATCTATTAAGGTTGGAAATTTATAATAGATATTAGAATAACTTGGTTAATAAATTTTGTTAATGGAATTTTAAAGTTTTGAGGATACCAAATGAATGGCGAGGAACACTTGGATTTTCCTTGATATATAAGAATATGAGGATAATCTTGAGATTTTCAAGTATACTTTGTACTCTTCCTTTCCTATTTTTGTAGACAACTTCGATATATTAAAGCTAGGCATGCGGAGTCGTGTGAAATTGGTATTATTTCACTTCATTCTCATTTGTTCCCACTTCTCAGCAGCATATTATGGGTCGACAAAATATACTGAATGTCATGTTTACATGGCTGGAGAATAAACGTTTGAAAATGACAAGTAGATTCCATTATCTTGGGGCATTTGCATACATACCACACCATTCTTATGTATTTACTTGTGTTACACGTAAACTTTCATATTTTCACTCACAATTCTCAAATTTTGAATATCACATCAAAAATAGCTTTTTTTTTCCACTTTTTAAAAGTGAAATACACCTTTTAATGCATAGGTTTAAAGCATCCAATTGCTATGTATGTAGATATGAAAGTTTGTTTAGGTGCGAGACATGTAAATACATAAGAAATGTGTGCTTTGTACGTAAATTTCCCTTTCTTTTAATCTGCACTTTTGCTCGAGAAACCGATTCAAAATATATCATTTGTAAGATTCAAATATATGCTGACATTCATTCAACGGAATGCAGGTTCATGTGCCTCGTGGAAGTGCGCCTCTTCCGGCTACATCAAGCTCATTAATGGCTACCTCAATGGTTAGCCGGCTTTGTTCCTACTGTTCAGCAAGCGCATTCAATGAACCTTCCTTCGGTTTCTGTATCAGCTGCCCATTTTGCAGCTTCTTCGCCGTCACCTGCAGCTTCTGGTGGCATTTCCTCTACCTTTAGGGATTCCCGCTGACAATTCCTTTGTGGTTCGAATGTTGCAGATTGCGCGCGAGATCAAAAAAAGCAATTAGTTTTACCTTTTTCACAAATCTCCACCGAACTTTCTGAACAAGGTAAATGCATATAGCAGTATCATGGCTGTCAGTAGTTTCTTTTAACTGATACGAAAATGTTCCGTGCAATCATTTCTAGGATCTCAACTCTTTCTGTCAAATATGTTAGTGTGAACTTTAGACAAACCAATGTGGTGATTGTTTGTACACTAATATAATCGAGCTGAAATTTATTTGCTGTATTAACTTAGGCTTATTAAGTATGTGTATGTTCTTGTCAAGTTATCCCTCAAAGTTGATTATGAACTCTCTGTTCTTGGAGAACAAATTATGTGGTGGGTTCCTAGTATAGATGCTTAGATGCTCATCTTGTTTTGGTTGTTTATGGTCTCAAATTAACTATTTCAACTATTCACAATGCATTTTATTGGCTTTATGCTTATTAAATCCTTTTAGTATATGTTGGTACTAGTAGGCTTTCTTGGACTTTTCTGACTATGATTATGTTTAAAATGGGCATTACTAGAAGTAGATTTAGGTTTAAAGAATGATAAAAAATATATATATAATAATAAATAGAACTCATTTCTTTTCGAGTTTCATGATTGGCATCTTACCACTATGCAGATGAATAGGCATAATCATAGTAGCTCTCCCTTCACATAATGGTTGTAGTGTTGTAAGACCCTAAAATTCCCAGCAAACGACCATATCTCACATCATATGTCCTCCTTAATATTTTATCATATTAAAACTGTGGCTTATAATTTTTCAGTTGTGATTGCTCGTAGAGCTATATTTTTTGGGTGTTACTAAACTCTAAATGTCTGATGTTCCAAAATTTGAGTCATATGGCAAAGCCAAGAATTTTATTTTTTTTTTGTAATGAATGCACATAAATTAATTTATTGTTTGCGTGTATGGGGAGGAGACGAACTCTATTATTATTGTTGGAAATCTGCCCTTGCCCTATTATTTTTTATATTATTTATCCTCATTCCTTTTTCTTTAATTCTCTGGCCACAATTTTATTATTATACTTTCATTCTCCAATTTATTTGTACGATTCATATGTCTTAAATCATTTTTAAGATTGTTTTATGCATTGCAATGATTATCTTACCTTGGCGGCTTTGAAGCTCTTATCCAAGTGATAATGATGTCATGCATTATTACTGTCTCGAGTCATTGATGACAGATGCCGAAGGTGCATTGAATTGCAGCACATGGTTCCATTATAAGAAAACAAAACATAAAAAAAAGCTAAGGTCAGCTGTCACTTCATATTTGCTGGCTTGGAATATTTGTTTTTTTTTTTAGGAAGAGAGAGATTCAATTATTTGGGGATTTTGATGAGTCGGTCTAAAGTTTTGGGGAAAAATAGTTGAATAAAGTTCAGAAGGCTTTTGAAAGATTAGGCAAAGGTGAAAGAGATTTCTAATGTTTGAACGAATTCTACTCAATTCATACGTTGAGAAAAAAATTAATAATCCGTTCGTATAAAAGCAGCCGAAGGGTCAACATTTTAGGCCTTATTTATTTATTTATTTTTCTTAATTTATTTATCTTATTGTTTGAAAAAAAAATTTTGGTGTTTAATCTGCTCTTGATATCTTTTGAAACTAAAATAAATACAATACAAAATACTTATATTTTCAATTTGATTTTTGATTATTTGTTTATTATAAGTAATGATTTTATAATACTATACATTATACATTATAATAAATTATTTATATTGATAGCTAACGATTTTATATTTTTTATATTTAAATATTGTGACATTTATACTACCCAATTCATATGTATTTACATCATTTTAATTGTTATACTTATACCACTCAAATTTTTCATCACCTAAAAAAACATTGTTATTTTAACTCTTGAGTTATATTTGCCTAGTCATTTTGGTCCAAGTGTTTTTTTTTTCAGTTCAAACCTATATTTTACTTAAAATTTTATTTTAAATGCTCGCAAAATAACTCACTCAAAATTCCCTTCCTAAACACTAAAAATAATTTAATTTATTTGTTTAAACTAAAAATAAAAGCAACCAAACAATATTTTTTTATCTTATTATTTATTTTCCAATAAAAAACAAAAAAAAAGGAACTAAGGGAGCATTTACATACATACCACACAATCCTTATGAATTTATATATCCTAAACTTTCATATTTACATCAAAAATATCTCTATAACTAATTTTCTAAAAATAAAATACAACTTTTCATCCATAAATTTAAAACAACAAAGTGCCATAAATATCCATATCAAACCTCAGGTTTTATGCAAATATATAGGAATTTTATGATATGTACCTAAATTTAAATCAAACTTATTCATTTTAGCTGGTCAACATGATAAATTTAAATCAAACTTATAATAACCATCCAATCATATTTTTTTCCAAAAAAAAAAAAAAAAAAATCAAATCATTCCTCAGCATAATGATGCATTGAACGGAAAAACATCCACATAAGCAGCTATTCCAGCCATTTAGACTTTGACTCGAAGCTTTTATATAAATTAACAAAATTTTAATTGAATTAAATTTAGATCAAAAAGCAAATGGTAGTTAGCTCAGTCAATAAAAACCTTGGATAGTATTATTGAGATTCTAGGATTGAATCTCAACCGCATAAAAAATTTTATTTTTCCACACTAAATATTCCAACAAATAAAAAATATTAAACATCCAGGAACTTAGCTGTGAAGCATAGGCATTGAGACGCTGCATCTTCTCCTAATGCTGACTGCTGACTGCTGACTGCTGACTAGGCCAATCTAAACAAAAGGAAACAAGCATAAAAGGAAAAAAATATTAGCAGGGAGAGCAGGCTTACCTTTAATCATCTATAAATAGAGGGCATCCGCTACATGCAGAGGAGCATACAATAAAAAGAAGGTGGAATGTGAATTTGGGATTTCTTGTGCAGGAGAGATGACACCGGCCTCACAGCAGCTGCTAGAAGCTGAAGCTGAAGCTGAAGCAGGTGTCCTCTCTCTTATACAACAAATCATTTTCTTCGTGTTATTATTCTTTTGCATTCTTTGTCCATTACAGGTGATATAAGGGTGAGTTTCAATCAGTCGTCAAGCTGCATCTAATTTATTATAAAGGTAAGAGCATGGCTGTTAAAATCAGATCGTACTGGCCGGTCGGACCCTGAACTGGTAGGGCAGCCGGTTCGAATGTTAGAGATAACCGGATTTTGAATAACGGGAATCAATCCAATAAAAATCCGGTCAAATCAGTCGACCGCGGTTTTTAATAACCGTTTTTCTTTTCCTTTTTTTTTATTTTTTTTAAACTGCATTACTTTCTTTTTCATGAATAACTTGGTGGAAGAAATGAAAAGGAAAGTTATTTTATATGTTTAGGGTGAACTTAGTTTCTGCATAAAGCTAATATTTCATTTAGTTTCTATGATTTATTGTACAAAAGAATATGACTAATTTTTATAAAGTTGTGTGATTAAAATTGAACAGTGCTTTAGAGAAATATAATGTTTTGCTTTATCCTCCTCTTGGATAGTGATATGTGATATTATAAGAGGAAGAGGTTGTGGTTGTGGCTTTCAGTTTTATTAAATTTTTAATTAATCTTAATTTTTCTCTCATCTGTATTTTACTTTTAGAATATCAAATCTTGAAGAAAGTAAATACGAAATACAAGATTTTAAAGAAATAACTACTTTTTTATAGCTACAAATATGAGGCTAATCATTCAAATATTTAATATTTTTATATTTAAAATTATTGAACTTATTTTTATGTGTTTTATGTTTTGTAATGCAATTGTTATCACTTTCTAGTTAGTATTTGCATGTAATACAACATTATTATATTATTTATATCATATTTAATTAATTTTTATATTTATTATGGCATTTGGTTCAACCCCCGATTCAACCCTGATCGAATCAATGAACCTTGAAACTTTCCTTCTTCCAATTTGATATCAGGACTGGTTGTCACAACCTTAGGTAATAATGTCTATATAATCTCTACCTAAACAGTACAGTATCAAGAGCTCTATGCGTGCATTGGATTGATTAACATTCTCATAATATTGATTGGTTGAGTTCAGAAGCACCTAACAGATATAATGCTGCTAAAAAATGAGTTCCAGAAATTGCCTGGCGACCAGAAGAAACTGGATGGATAGAAAGCTTCCAACCTCTCAGAACAGCCTGTTCTCCCCACTAGCTGTGTACTCTGAAGCACCTTATATGTGGAAAAAGCTTGCGAAGGTCTTCATGACTCCTCCTCTAAGAAAGTTAAGACAATCCAAGTGTCATCAAACTACAAACAAAAAAAGTATGCTGCAGCAGATACATGAGATCACAAAGACCTTAATTCCAGTGCATCCGTTCACATCAAGGGTTGTTATAGTATTCGAGCAGTGCTTAGAAAGAACCTCCAGACATCTATCAGTAAGTCCAACAATACCAAATAAGCTGCATGGAAATATTATTGCATTAGATATCTTATCCAGCAAGATGCAGCCGATTCAATGACATCACTTGCAAGGGACCTGAGAAATTCAAGAGATCTGCACCCTTTGGAAATTTTCATCACGCCTACATCGGTAACCCGTATGCACCTGAAACAAGGTATTACAAGTAAACTTTTATAATCATCATGAGCCTCATTATTCCCACCGAGAGTTGATGCAAGTTACCATTGGTCTACACGTTTTTTACTAATAATCCCACATTAAATTCAACAAAATATCTTATTGAACCGTTTTTTTTTTTTTAAAAAAAGATTATTATTGAAGCTTCTTCTTCCTTCCATAGTACATGCAGCTTCTACTCTGACAATCTCTCTCTAATGATTATTTTTTAACTGACGCCTCGTAATTTTTCCACGCATTTATTTTAATATCCTCATTTCTACCACATTCAAGTTTGTTTATAAGTGGGCTGTTTCCTTACACTTCAACACCAATAATATACTGTCCAATTGCAAATTTAACCAATTCAAGTGAAAAAAAATAGAAGGCGTTAACAAAGCTTACCACGTCAAATTCAAAGAAAGTAATTTTCTGCAGCTGGCAATGCTAGAAAGGCCATTATCAGATAGATTCTGATAAACAGAACTTCAAAAGTTATTGTTAATTCGTAGTTTAAAGGTAATTGCAGTACAATAGGAGCCATCAGAAATACCTGAGCACCACACAAGTCCAAGAATTCCAGATCTGCTAAGCAACCAATCTTCTCATAAGCTCTATCAGTGAGACTACAAGAAAACAGTAGTTTTTAATGAACACATAATGAGAGCAAAGTGTAAAACTATCGAATGACTGTTTACATAAGATCATATTAGTCCCTGACTTTATCGAAGCAATTATTCCCCATAATTTTTAAATTAAGGTTGAAATAATCTTCCGTGGGGACTATTTCAGCCTATATTAAAAGAATCAAGACTCTAGGACTAAAATAACCCCTGCAAAAGTAAGGGGAGACTATTTTGACACTTCTCTCATAAAGAGAACAGCTTGTCAACCTTTCCAAACTATGGCTTATGCTATCAAACAATTAAATATCAAACATCAGATGCTTACCTTGAGAGGGCATACAAGTTTAAGCTTTTTAGGGTACTACACTTGAGAGCATTTTGTAATCCATTATCAGTGATTTTGATGCACCTGCAAAAAAAATCCCCGCATCACAGCCATGCTTAAAACCACTTTAGCCAAACATAACAATAGAGCACTACATATAGGACAAAAGTTTGTGAAACAAAGTGAGTAGCAGAAAAGAAAATCCTATAGGTGTGGAAGGAGAGCTGTAGAGGAAGAGAAAAGATAGAGTTGAGGAATTTAGATGAATAAAGGTCTCCAAAGAAGGTAGAGGAAAAGCAAGGAAAACGTAGAGGAGAGGCGCCAAGAAATCTTTGATTTCAATTAATCTTCATTCCCAAATAAAATACTATCTTGAATGAAAGCAAGTTAAACACTAACCACTGACCTAGACCAAATCAATCCTGAGTTCAAGCTCTCCAGAAAGACCCATAGATGGGACTAAGTTCATTCCAAATAATGCTTGAAGTCGATCTTTGGCAACACTGATTTTTAGGTTTGATAAACAGTGGGATTGTAACTGTTTAAATTCAGAGTAATGCAGAATAAAACAGGATTTTTTGAATGGGGTCTAAAACTCTTACATGAATCCTAGAATAGAAAAGATAATAAAAAGGAAATAATATGAAATTAAAGATATATCATCTAATATCTCCAATAATCAATTCATATTAATTATTTTTAGAGAAAGAAAACAACGTAACATATGAGAGCCTTAAATAGAAAAGGGAATAAATCCAATTCAAGAAAATAAGTTTAAAATAGGAAAGGAAATAAATCTAATCCGCAAAATTTTTAATAGGAATAATTTATTTCCTAATATAACTTCTAACACTCCCCCTCAAGTTAAAACATAGTTGAAAACAATATTCAACTTGAATTTGAAAGCATCAAACAATGGGCGATGGAGATCCCCTGAAGTAGAACTTAAAGTCTTCATCCCGTGCTACGGCTGTCTTTGATTGCATCTCTTGCAGTGTTTGTAGATAGACCGAAGACTCTTATAGATAATGTTGCAGGGAAGTTTGCAGTGAAGTGGACAACTGAGATTATCTTTGACTGTAGTTCTTCAAGTGTCTGTAGATAGGCAGAAGACACCTACAGGTAATGTTGCAGGGAAGTTTACAGGGAAGTTGACAACTACGGTTGTTTTTCTGTTGCAGTTCCTGAAGTGTCTTTAGGTAAACATAATGCTCCTATAAGTAATGTTGTAGGGGAATTTGCAGAAAAATAGACGGCCCCTAGAAAAAACTGACTTCTAGTTGATTGTCATTGGTTGCAGTTCCTATAGTACCTGTAGGTAGGCAAAAGGCTCCTCCAGGTAATATTGTAAGTGAGTTTGCAAGGAAGTAAACAACCTTCAGAAAAAGGTTGTAGGGTATGACCTTGTTGACCTCGCTTTCGGTCAAGGTGCACTTTTCCCCTCCTTAATAGCCTGAGATCTAGCCGTATGACCTTTCTGCCGACTACTCTTAGAAAACTAGTGAAGGAGCCCTCCCCGTTAACAATATTCTAGCCTTTTCATCGCTCGACTTGACGTTCCATATAGTAGTTTTAACCGCTATTGCTTAGCGGGTAAGGCTACTCTGAAGGAACTCAGAGAGTATTCCTATAGGACTGTCAGCCTTATGATTGACTGTACTCGTTGATTTGGCGCAGGCGTCCTCTGCACCGTCCTGTTTGATTGAACTCACACTGGAATTTTGATAGAATTCGGACCGCGACGCGTTTTTGACCCGAATCGTCGACGGAGGTTGCCCGGACGACTCCGGATGAAGAAACGGACTGCGTCGATGCGTCCGGAACATCGATTTTGCCTAGGGGGGACGTTCGTTTCATTGCGACGGTGCGTCTTGAGGAAATATGTGCGTCTTGAGGAAAATACATATTTAAATGTTAATTATAATAATAAATAATATTTTATTATTATTATTATTAACTTATATTAAAAATCCTTAACCTAAACCTATCTCCTCCCTCCCTGCCTCATTCTCTCGAACCCGTGGGTCTGCCTCAGCCCTAGATCTCGCTCGGTTTCGCCTGACCCTCTCCCTCGTGTCGTTGGAGTTTCGTTCCCGCGCTCGCCTCGCGCTCGCCTTGCGCACGCGGGACGATCTCGCGACCCATCCCTTATTGTATCTCATCCTCTGCGAGGATCTCATCCTCTGCCTCTCGCACGCCCATATGGGGGCGTCTGCTCCTCTCGATCCTTCGATCCGCATGTGATCCCCTAATCATTCCCTCTCCTTCTCTCTGGCTTATATGATACTCTGTTTGGAGCGTTTCAAAGGGCCGAAAATCTATGAGGGAGAAAAACTGTCATTTTCTTTTCTCACTTACTTCTTTAGTCTGTTGTACTTGGGTTGGTTTCCTCTTAGTTTCCTCTTACTTCTTACTGTTGGAGGAAGGATTGAAGTGGGGGAGTGCTTTGAAAATTTCTCTGTGTCTTTTCTTTGCTTCAGGGAGGTACTTTTTCCCCCATCTGTGCCTTGTCTTTCTTCGGTTTTCTCTCTGTCGAGCCCCTTTGCTTGGTGCAGTGGACGATACAGCATACTTGCGTGATATTACACTTATGTTTTTGAAATACTTGGTACTCAAGCATCTAGAAATAGAAATGTGAGCATGTTCTAAGAGTTAGACTTGATTACTTGCTTAAAGTGGTGAAGCTATGGCATGTTTCTATTTATTGCAACATATTTCTATTGGAAGCAATTAGGAGGGTTGAAACATGGCTTTGAGACAATGTTAGCTCCTCTTGCAAGCATGTTAGGATATATATCATAAATCTTTTAATTTATTCTTATCTAGCATGAGACGTTGGAAGGTTTTATTTGGTCATTCACGAATGTGTAAGGCTCGGTTTTAGCATCTTAAATTCCTTTTTGGCTGAAAAATGCATGTTAAGTTTACTTTGATTTAGGAAAGGTTCTATAGTTTGCTTTAATAATTTGGTTTGGCTCCTCGAGGGGGGAGGCATCTTTCATGCTTGGATGCTTGAGGGAATTTGATTCGTGCTTAGAACGATTTTATTGGTGGCCTAAAAATACTTTCCATGACACTGTTATAGTTACTGTTATAGACTTTCCATGACACTGTTATAGTTTAAAACCTATTTTGGCTCCATATAATTATGTTTTAAAGGCATGTGGACTGTTCTTTGGCCTTGAATGGCTTGGTTTTTTCGGGTTTTGTTGGTGCTCGGTTTTAATTTCAGGGGCATGGGATGTTTATTTTTGGGTATTGACTTTCGTTGAGGTATTGAAGTTCTTTTACTAGCTTTGAGAGTTTCGTTTTGGCCCTTGCTGGTTTTCGGTTTGCCTAAAAATGGTTGGGTTTGCATTTGCTATCATATACGACATTTGATTAGCCTTTAAAGCTTTGATTTGATCTCTTTAGGGGCTCGGTTTTCATCTTGGAAGGGCTAGAGGTTGGGTTCTGGATTGAGGTCTTGTCTTGGGTCTGTGAGCTTTACTTGTTAACCTTGAAGAATTTATTTTGGCTGGGAGCTTGATTTGCTTGTTTTAGCTCCTACCCGAGAGGTAGCTTGGGAGCTTGATTTGGTTTGTTCTTAGTCCTACCCGTGAGCTTGTTGGTAGGTCATTTGGTTTGGCTTTGGCCCTTGCTGGGCTCGGTTTTGGCTTGTGTTGGTCCCGGGATCCGCCTTTTGCTGGCTGGGGTTTCAGCCATTTGCTGGCTGTGGTTTTTGGCCTTAGTTGAGGGGCTCAGTTTGGCTCGTTTTAAGCCCTTGCCCGAGGATCTGGCTTGTTGGGTGGTTGTCCTGTACTTCTCCTATTCCTACCCATGAACCTATTAAGGGGTTGCCTGGGACGATATGACTCTTCTTGTTGAGTCTGAGTGGCTTGAATTTTGTTGATGAATCAAGTTTGTCATCCCAAAAATTATAATCATTTTATTTATCCTCTTATGTATATCGAGGGAGCGCGTTAAAATAACTAATGGTATTTCCTTTGGTTGCCTGGGCTTTGAGCCTTAGTTTGGTTGGTTCCTTTTGTCGATGGCTGTTAGTGGTGGTCCTTCCTGTTGGTTGCCTCGGTCGTGAGCTTTAGCAGCTTCCCCCTTTCCCTTTTGGTGGCCTTGGTCGTCGGCCTTAGCAGCTGTTCCTTGCTGCCCTGAACCGTGAGCCTTAGTAGTTGCCTCCCTTGTGTTGCCTGGGCCGAGAGCCTTAGTTGTTGTTCATCTCTTTGTATTGAGCTTCGCTGTGAGCATTTATGTGGTTTTAGCGGAGGATCTCATGTTTATTTTATACGAGGAGATTTTCATTAAGTCTGGAATTGAATAGTTTTAATGTTGACATGATTTTTTGAAGTATAAGAGGTCGTCGTCCCAGGGTTATATTCCTTTCATTTAAATTGTGAAGCTTGGGAGATTTTCGAATTTTATTTCGGGAGAATACTTGGTTGAGACGAATTGATTTCATAAAAGATATCTTTGGGGTTTGGATTCCGACGTTATGAGGTCATTTTGACTTGGGTTGATCCGCTTATGAAAACGTGAGAAAATGATACTCTTTCGGATTGATTCAAGGATCTTCAGGCTTTCCTTTTTAGGTCTTTTCGTCACGAGTTTTGAGAGATGATTCATCCTTCGTTTTTTTCGATGTTTTAGGTGAATCAGTCCCTCCTCTCTCTCACCCCATTTTTGTTCTTTTTTTCCTTACTTCTTGGTTCTGTTTTTTATGTTTATGTCTGATACATAAGTGTCAATGTATAGTCTTTTGTTATACGTGAAATCATCAAGCAAGGTCACAAGTAGGTCAATTTTGTTTTGGGGCTTAGGGCGGTGATGACAAAGGCACACCAGAGATAGAGCCGAATGATGATCGGGATCCGATTCAGGAACCCATCAGGATCTGATTCAGGAACCCGGTGAGCTATAGGATGACAGTATCATTCACTGACACAAGACTAGCGGGAGTTGACCCGAACCTTCTTAGGTTGTTGGTAGTCTTATGCACGACAACGTGATCGACTCGTTGACAACTACTTTTCAAAATTGATAAAAACAAATTTGATAAGAACAAATACACCTTTTTCTAAATAAAAATACATTTTTTACTACAAACAAAATTGATACAGCCCATTTTTTGCATGTTTGAATACATACTACAAACAAAATTGATACAGCCCATTTTTTGCATGTTTGAAACCTATGTGCATGCTGAAAATATAAATTTTAAATACATTTTAAACATTGGTTGTCCACCTGTCGATCATCTGTTTAGGCTAAGGAATACCCTCTTGAGTTAGGTTTGATAGGACACCTTTCTAATTGAGTGACGGGTTTTATACATCAGGGTCACCGAATAGCCTTCGACGACCCTCGAGTACTAATATATGGTTGAGCCTAGCCCCGACCCGAGTGCTTGCGGTCCCCCTCTTTTCGGACTTTTTCATATGTTTCTCTTAGAATTTTCGGGATGTTACCGTGTTTTCTACGATTAATCAACTTGTCGATTCGTCAATTTCCTCGCATTTCTCTTGTCGTGAGTCTTTTGACAATCTTTCTCGAGATTTTTGGACGACGTTTCTTTGCTTTCGTTTAATAAAGCATTTCAGTCTGTTTCCTCAAGTTTTGTTGTTTGTACCTGTTGCATCAATTACACATAAGAAACAGCGGATCTCCCAGGTATACATGTCTGTTTTATGTTTACAGCATGTTATTCTCTTATAATCACGTCCCTGTTGTACCTTTTATTTTTCTTTACACCACATGTTGTACTGCTTTCTTTACTGTATACTATATTGTTTGTCCTGTGCTACATACTCTACTGTTATGCTATGCATTGTACAACTTCAACATGTTATCTATAAAATATTTGAAGAACTACAACCATAGTGTCGTTGGATTTGACATTATAACCTGACACCCTAGAAAACTTAAACTCGTCACGATAAGAAGTTTGGAACTAGCGCGGTGGGCAGCACGATCATCTTCAACAGCAGAATATGTTTTCCCCAGCTAAACCATTCTTTTTCCTAAAAATTAAAACAACAATCCATATGATTCGAGGTTGTTCGTCTAGCGCAACATAAATCTTTAACATTTTCTTTAGGCATTTGTATAGCTCTGTTGTACGATCTAAGCCCTAAATCGTTTTAGGATTCTGAGGTTGTCGTTCGTTACGACCTAAATCCTCACATCTTCCAAGCTGTTTGTGTGATTGTTTCATACGAATGTAAGCCCTAATTAAATAAAATTGTCAGGATAAAACACTTGAATATTTCTCCTCGAAACTGAAGTCAAATCATAGGGTAGACTGGAAAGTCACCGAAGATCTCCTATGGATCTATGGCATTCAGGACTGTGACATCTCCTAGTCCTTCTTCCTTTGGATTCCAAAATAAAATGTGCTAGTTTGAATCATTCCCCTTTGCACACATTTTTGTCCAATTTCGTTGAAAAGTCTCATTCTTTTGACCTCCTTGAAGATAATTTTTCCTTATTTTACCTCTTTGAAGACATTATCCCCTGATTTTTATCGAGAGTATTCTTAAGTAACTTCGGTCATTTATGATGTAATTAACTATAAATGTTTGCCCTTATAGGAAGCTTTTCTGAATTCAGCTTAAAATAAACCCTATTTAATTTTTCATATTAAATAAGAGAATTTGTCAGCAAATAAATAAAACGGTTTCGCCAAACGAATGTCATGTATTTCTTAGTTTATTTGATCGAGTCTCATCCTCAAGTCTTGTGTTTATCCTTCGGGATAGATACAGAGTTTAAGGTA